CTCACGGGTAATAAAGCACTATACTGTGTGTACTAAATTTAGCGAGGGGCTAACCTATTTTCACAATTTATTACTCGACTGTTCTCACACCGTAATGGGGCATTATTACGGGCCTGGCGAGGGCGCCGGGGAGGAATGAACCCAGGCACTGCTGAGCCCTTGGGTAACTACGGCGGAGAAAAAAGTAATTCGATTCAGCCTTAAATCTCAGTTGGATCTCAGTCAATTGAGAAAACAATGAGCAAATGTTGCACGGGCAGTAAAGCTTGAGAGTAGATATCGGGCATCAACAAACCGAAAAACCTCATCCTATGTTTGTAGGCACAGCATGAGAAAGCAACAAACAATTTCCATGTGATCCCTCACTCCGGGGCTGAAAGCCACACGCACCATAATCGCATGGCCTACACGCATTCCATCCTTGACCGTTCCGGCCCGACGGCTATAGAGCCCAAGCGGTGAAAACAGATAGAATCACAGGGAACCTATTTCCCTAAAATGATCCTGTCGTGGGCAGGGTTTTGCTAAATCCCCAATCCCCACTTGCCTATACATCCAACACCAAAATCCCCAGCCCTACCACCCCCCCCAAATTCTCACAAATGGTCGAAAAACTGCCATTAATTTTTCTTAGCTCATATCATACCTCTTTCCCTTCTTGCCCCTTTCACGTACTCTCTTCTCTTCCAGCTCCCAAATCCATTCTCGCCCTAGCTAAAACCCTTTACTGCCCTTTCCACCCCTGAGCCAAGCACCCAATGGCCTCGATATACCCGCCAGGATTTCTGTTATGCTTTACTGATTCCCGACTATCAATTAGTTCACCTTGTTCCACCCAGTCTCCCGTGAGGCCGCCACCCCCATCTTTAACATTTTCAAAGCTGCCTTGCCCGACAGACCTTCACCGGCCGCCACGGGGCAAACCTCGGCTATCCTGAAAGGGGGAAAACCCAAAAAGGACATAAAAAACCTCATGTCGAGTGATAATAGGTGATCAAGCACCCTCCCACGATCTCCATACTTACATCCAACCGCATTTCAAGCACGGAATGCAAGATGCTAATATGAACCTATTGAGTGTTGAGTAAATGGCAGCCTCTTTTTGCCTAGAAGGCTAAAAACAGGGAACTGACTTGCCTTTACAACAAACTCCCCTGCTAAGAAAAAAATAGGTGGAGCACAAACTCAATTTACCGTAGTTCGCCAAGCACGAAATAGTAGTGAACATCCTACAAGTCCAGGGAAACTCCAAGTCACCGGTTGCAATCCAGAACACTAATTTTCCGGGGTTCGGGGGTAAAACGAGGGCAGTAGAAATGACCTGCTTATCAGAGACACATGATATACGATCCCTGTAGCCGTCTCTACCTTATCTCTCACACGTCGCTCTCCACGACCACGCCCTAAGCAGAAAAACGTACTCATCCCGGATAGCGCTCTTTGACCGCGTCCATCAGTCGTCCTCCGAAATCCCATTTTACCCATCAACCGAGAGTTTTTGGCCCTCCTTTTATACAAAGCTAGCTTGATGTGACAGCAATCGCATCTCGTCGATAAATCCACATAGGATATGTGACGCCTCCGGGCTTTCTTTCCCCCCCTTCACTACACTCCCGAAAAGTTGGGTATCCCTTTGGCCCGGTTCTCCGGGAGACACCCCCCCATTCTACAACCTGTAGGGGAGATTATCCGGAGACATAACCGGGTCCATGTTCCAAAATAAATCATGGGTTTTTTTTCACGAAAAAAGGATAGAGAAAGTAAAGGAAAAGCATGGCCACAACACAGCAATCAGAGTTGGCCAAACACTGCTAAGAAAACTATGCCTCCTTTTGCCACCTGTATGGCAGTCTCATCGGAGGTCACTAGCTATGCTTAGTCACCTGCGAGCAAGCCTTTCATTACTACAAGTATTTGCCTGATACATCCTTCCAGAACCGCAACACGCCAACGAAAAAACACCAAAGTGGGAAACACCGGCTACTGATCAACTTAAAAACTACCACAATACAAGGCTACCCTACCGGGACACACAGTATGTACGGGTACAGTACCAGATTCCCCACCGCACCCAACCTTCCTTCCCCACACCCCAGCACCTCTCCAATCTCCGCCTCGTCATCCCCACATGCGATACTCCCAAAACCGTCATCAGGTCCCGCAACGACATACCCCATCCCGCCACCACATCCCACGACATTTTTTTTAATTATTTTTTTACCCAGGACTCCCAAGCCCGTCTGGTCCCATCCGAACCACATGGTTATATACCACCATACAGTACGGTAGGTATTAGACTGTACCACGTTCCCCACAAGCCGACCAACCGACAAAATGCCATTTACCGGTTCTTCCGCCCCAGCGGGACAGCCAGTTTCACACCACTTCGCTCCGCACTGCCGAAAGGGCCCATCACGTTGAGACCGCGGTGATCGTACCGGTGTTTACTTGTATAGCACTGGTATCGCACTTTCCTCCAGCCACAGTTTCCAAGCGTCAGCTTACGTATCCCATAAATCGATGGCATGAATCGGTATGCACCGCCACCGGCAAACAAAACCCGCAACAGTAGTACTTTCCCCCCCCCTCCCTCTCCGTGCTCGGTTCCTCCTACCTACCTACGGTAGCGCGATGGCACTGATACTCTAAACCTACGCACAACGCCACATGAAATCCAAACCTCACCTTGCTGACCACACCTCACTTATTTACCAATGTACGGTAATTATGTACTCGGTTGAAATCACCCGGATGGCCCCGGCGCCTGGGACAGCACGTGTTTTGTAGATGTAGTCGAGTACCGATACCGGTACTCGTACATACTAGAAGGCAGGTTGGCACTAAAAGGGTTACTGTACAGTACAGCACTCCTGGAGTGCACGAGGCTAGAATTTTCATATGCGTCGGTACGAGTACGTAAGCAGGCAAAAGGAGAAGTTTTTTTTCTGTTTTTTCTGCTTTTTGTTTTTTTAATCCAAAAATAAGTTAGTGGTTTTCCGAAGGCACAATCATGCTGTTGGAAATTGGGGGACGGGGGGTTCGGACGGTGGGGACCCCAGTGAGTGAGGGGTGCTGGATGTCGGGAGTGCACTGCGCTGTCGTATAATTTCTTGCGGGAACCTAATAATAATAATAATAATAAATTAGCCCACTGTAGCGCATGCGAGTCGGGAGGAGCCTGTGTTTGTCCGGTGGACCCTTACCGGTACCCTGTCCAAAGTATCATGGATGAAAGATCAGCATCTCTCTTTTTCCCCGACCCTGCCAAGACAGAGTGACAAGCCATGACCACGGTCGCAAATCCCCCGTTTTGCCTGCCTTATTAAGGGCTGGAATACTTACCCGAGTAACAGAATGGGGAAGGCTGCAGGTGGCGATCGATGGGAGTCCCCGTCAACAAATTTAGCATCACCAACACTGTCACCCATTCCCTGATCATCAACCACGCCTTACGTACTGTACTTACCCGTGATTAATCGGTGATCAAGGGCGTTCATTCCATTCTTATCATCCCATCCATCCCCATCTCATGTAGAAGCATGTACCGGTACGGTATGTAGAACCGGAATTCGATGTCACGGGGTTTCTCCCATAGAACTCACCGGTACTTATAGTCGTGGGTAATGTAATAGCACAAGTACAGTACTCGAGCACACAAATTGAGCCAGCTACAAGCCATCGTAATGCCACGGTAGAAGTTCCGTAGTTGTATGTAGCCTTGGTAACTGGACAAATTTACCCACAGCAGGCACCGTGCCGGTCGTAAGCCTGCACAGGGGTTCTCTTCTGGAGGTAGAGTACTCATACTGTCTCTACTCGAGTGCCGGTATCGTTCCAGAGCTGCAGAGCCTATACTAGTGAGTCTAAATTGAGAACAACACCCCAGCAGTGCAAACCACCCGAAGAGTATGATATGACCGATAGCAGGATAGTGTTTACCCCCCCCCCCCTCTCCCCACTATAGTCTTATCTAAAAACTCAACGCGCCCTCGACTCTATCCCGACTGGCCCATATCGGGAAGAGCGGAGGAGAGGATGGTCGGTGGGTGAGGTGGAGTCGTGCGCGTGCCCGATGTTACTCGAGTAAATTAACGATAACCAACCAACAAAACTAAGGCGCCGCACATGTGGGTGTACTCGTACAAGTACCGGTACTTGAACACAACTTAAGCACCCAGCTATCCAACCAATCGCTATCGCGAACCTCCGAAGCGAGAGATCTGAATGGACCACACCTGTAGATAAGTTAGTACCGGACTGTACTGTACTAGTACCCTGTACCGTACCGTGCTCTTGCTGCACTCCCCCGCACGTTGTTTTTAGCCAACCAATCAGATCCCCTCTCCTCAACCACCATCCTCTAGCGTATCATTAGCCATCGCGTTTAAGTTATGATACCCCAAGAAAAGGCGAAGCTGGCCACAGGACCACTCGAAGTAAAGTTCCGTACCCACCGCCCTGCTGGTCAAACGCATGCCCGCCTGCACGCCCGCCCATCAGCGCGCGCACACGCACTGCAAGAAATTATTTTCTACGATTCGCGGATACCACGACCAGGCGCGAACGAGAATAGAGTGGAACAAGAAGTGAAAAAAATAGAAAAAAAGAAGAAGGGAAAAGAAAAGAAAAGAAAAGAAGAAAAGCAAAACATTTGCCATATCTTTTATTTCCCCTTCACTTTTCATCAAAACTCGTCATTGACGACGTGAAGACTTCACGACCGGACACGTTTATAATAACGTACGGTAGCGTAGCGCGTCGGATGCATCTTGACTTCATCACGCTTCACTTTTCACTTTTTTCCCGTCCACTTTGCGGTATGCAGGCTTCCTCCCACTTCCCGTTTCAGCCTTAGTTTGCATAATCTATTCTGGGGTTGAGGAAGTGAAGTGCGCTCCATTCACGGAGCGGGGAAGGGGAGGGGAAGAGGAAAAAGTGGTGAAGGGTTTGTGGGTATGGTGGCGATGATGGTGATGGTGATGGTGATTGGCAGGCGTGTGCTATGATTAGCGCAGCATAAGTCATCGTGGCTGACTATAGCTTAACTTCACTCACTCACTCACGACGTGAGCGGCCTTTTTTAAACCACTCGTACTCGAGTAGCGGGTTGATCCTTTTGAACACGACCGCTATTGCATACCCCCGAGTTCTGGCATTTCTGCTCGGATTCGGGTGGCATACGATAGCGGCTTGCGCTCACACGAACTTTTGCCCCGTCACCAAGTGTCCATTAGTATCCATAGTCTATAATATATCCAGCACGCACCGTTGGCATGCCGAATGGCTTGAAAGGGTCAGGGCGCCGGCGCTCCCAGTTTATCTTCGCGGTCTCGTGCCGAGGGATTATTCCTGTTCGTGCGGTGAGCTGCTTTGCCATTGTATGCTACTGTGGTCTAATGCCATGCACATAGCGGTGCGTAGTTGTCACCGTATAGGGGCAAGTGTCATGATGTAGCTAAGTAAATTAAGTACAGTACAAGTGCACGAATTGGTGAATCATGGAACAGCCTAAATTGGTGACTGTTTCTGCGGGATTTTCCGAGGCTCCCACTTTTTCATCCCTACGAGTACTTTTATGAGCAAGTGCGGGGACCAATCGCTGGAATACTTGTGGGTCAATTATTTTCGGGAGAGTCTCTGAAGTATTTATTTGAATGATGCTCGAGTAAAAGATGGCACTACCAGTATGACCATCGACATAAGATATGATGGTATCTTGGAGGAAGAAGAGATGATGGAAATAAAAGATACGGTGAAGTAGTAATATGGCGATATAGAAAATCTTGTAAGGTGGAGATAAAATGTGGTAAAGTGGATGAAGTGAAGCGAAGCAAGTTTGTATAAGGGTAAGATAAAAGAGTTCCCCGAAAAAAACAAAAGGAAGTAAAATAATGAATGTGTCAAAATATACATAGAATCGAAGTATGATAAAAAGGACAAAAAAGAACGAAAATCTCAAATCCCCGTCATAATCACGAAAACCTTCCAATCCCACCCCCAAATCCGAACCCCACCCCACCAGTGCTTGTACTCGTAGTGGCAGACATAGGCTCAGGAACCTCAACTGTAGTGGTAGGAACAGAAGACCTAGCGTTCAGCATCTTCATCCTCCAATTATATCCTCTCGACGAGCCACGTCCAAGCTTCAACGCCTCCATCTGCTCCAACCCCCTCAAGTTTCCTCCAACCTTTCGCGCCCTAACCTCCTCCTCATCATCCTCGCTGCTGCTACTCGAGGAGCTCTCCTCCTCAACCTGCTGTGGCTGCTGGTCTTCCCATCGTACAGAGTACCCGATCACCTCGACGCCTTCGGCGAAACCGACTGTTCGTGCGCCCGTCCTTCTCTTCTTGTTGCTGCCATTCGTCCGCGAAATGCCCGCTTCGGTTGGGGCGGCGGAGAAACTTGTAGGAGCGGAATCGCGGCGCGCGTTGAATTGCGTGTTGCGCTGGGTGGAGAGTGAGGTTGGTGATAGCGGACCGGCGGAGATTGGTGGGATGGAGGACTTGGAGAATGTTCTGCAGGTCTCGTTGGTGATCTGGAGCGATAGCTTTGGTGGCCCGGCCCGGCGTTTGTTGACCGGTGGTGGCTGGAGGAGCGGCCCCGATGTGTAGTAGTCTGGGCGGTAAGAGGTTGGTGGGCTGGGCGTTCTTGCGTCTATAGGCGACGAGGGGAAGTGGACTGCAAGCATTTTGATTGCGGTTTTCTGGTACGTGGTAGGGAGATAGTGTACGAAGGTAATGTAGCGGAGATAGTTGTGGTAGAATCAAGCTCCTGAGCCTTTCACCAGACAAATGCAAAATGCAAAACAAAAACAAAGAATCAAGAAGGTAAAAGCAGAATCTTTATCCTCGGTGTGGAACTGAAGACTTGTTCCTTTAACTGTTTACCAGATCTGGGGATCTCAACGCCTTTATGTACCGTATTCAATTATCTCCAATTCCTCGCCCCCCCCCCCTTCTTTCCTTTTTTCTCCCTCACCTTTTTTTTTTTTAACCCTCCACACCCACCCACCCACCCACACAACCTACACCCTCCTGTCCCGCTAAGCTAAAAACACCCACACGTCTACTCGAGTATTCCTGCCCGTTGCTGTTTTAAGATCCGCGCAGGGGTGAAAAGGGTATATTTAGTCTCCAACGAGTTAAAAAGGGTTGAGGCCCCCCGGCCCCACCCACCAATCAGGGACCCCCTCGTGGTAAAACCCGCTTTTCCACCCTCGGTTAGGCTTGTGGCGGGAGAGACAGTTGCGAAAAAAGAAAAGCTAGGCCGGATAGGGGGAGGCAATTGGTCGCCACAAAGTATTTTTACTGTGCCATACAAGTAGAGAACGGACCAACCCCGCGTCGGTCATTCTGGCCGAGTAACCGGTACAAGTATTTTCATCCCCAATCAAGCGAATCGATCGAATGGATCTGCAAATTTCCCAATGCGGTAATCGATTGCGGTAACTGGCAGGTAAAAAAAAGGGGACCATCTGGTTGGTATTGATTGTACTATTGACCTGGATGGGCACCTGTTTCTGTAAAGCACGCCATGTACTCCGTACTGTACTTTTACTTTTACTTTATTCCCCACAATATATATCCCACTATTCTAGTCTGCGGTGGGCCATAAAAAACTCACACACCTATTTTTATAAAGTACTCGTACAGTACCCGAGTACGTACTAGAGAAAAAAACCACTCTTTCGCTCGCTCTACGAAGCGATAATCCGTCCCCCGATTTTGGCACCCGCAGATCTTTGCGAGAACCGAGGTCTGCTCCTTATTTCTTTGTCCCCTTTTCACGCGTGAACAGACGGCCAACAGCCAAGCTTTGGACAACCTAACCCAACATTTGCTGTGCCTAACCGGAAAGGGATGACCCCCCCCCCTCAAAAAAAATAAAAACATTAGGGGCCAAACAAGTGAAGATATTTCTCCTGATTGCGACTCCTCTCAGTTGATTAAGCCCCGCAGCTTCTAAGTATTTGGGAGGAAATACCGGTATCATTTTTGTGTCCGCCCAGGTCGAAATAGGGGCGTGAGGAGGGGGGGATGAGGAGAGAAGGATTGAACACCGGGCCCTGAAACAAACCCTAAACCACCAGGTGTTCGAGTGGATTTCGGTACAAGTACGGTAGGTCGCTGCGTTTTAGAGTCTGTGATGGTTTCATTTCGTATGATAGCTCATTGATGCGTGCCTTCTTGCCTGTCCTCTCCCCCCCCTGCGGGGGCCCCCATGATCCTAGGCGCAGGAGAAAGAAAGTATGAAAAAGACAAAAAAAAAAGGCTACGATTATGATTACTCTACAGTGGCTGTGAACACAGGCGCGATGGAGAAGTTGCGTAAGCAGTGGCTGGGGCGGGTGTGTTCTGACCCGTCCACGCACAACCTGACTACCGTACTCGACGCCATAATTACTGCTCGAGGAAGTATTAGTCTAAACAGCCATGGTATGCAAATCACGGTATCCTACGTGCAAAAAAAAACAAAAAACAAAAAAGAAAAGGTCACCAAAAGCCACCGAAGAGGCTCGTTCACACAACATGGACGCACAGACACCCCCCACGCTTTGAGCTTCCTGAATGTGGCTTCGCGTGTATCGGCACAAGTACAGTTGCACCTGGCTATAATGAACGCCAAGAATCAGCATTTTGGATTACGTTCACTAATTTTTACTATGGGAGGTTCACTATAGCAAGTTATTTTCCGGTGTAAATTGACTTTTATGCTCACAGGAAATAGTCTGAGACACTAATTCTTGGCGTTCATTATAGCCAGGTGCAACTGTACTTGTATCCATCCCAAGAAAGGGTTTACCAATGTGGCACCATCGTGCGAACAGGGCACTGTACTCCTACTAGTTCTCGAGCACTCGAATACAGCGTCACGGGAATCCCACGCAAGCCGGACCCAATAGCGGTTCGTGGCGCGGGGTACTCGTGCGTCTCAGCCAAGAATTGGTTTCCCCATTTGTGGGAGTGAGTGTGGGCAGGTACGGTACTTTTCCACCAACGAAGTATAGTGGAGAACTAGCTGAGAGGTCTAACTATTTGGGGAATTGTCTCATACAACTCTTACTTCTCTGACGATGTTATCTCATTCTACTACGGTAATTGAGCACAGGTTTCCTGATCATGTACAGTACTAGTTATGCAACATCCAGACACTATACTTCTTTGGTGGAAAAGTACTGGCCCACACTGGCTATCACAAATGGGGAAACCAATTCTTGGCTGAGACGCACGAGTAGTCGTTGCTGGGGGGGTTTTTTTTGGTGGTGTTTAAACTAGATTGGTGATGTTCTCCCTTAAATCTGTGTACGGATCCCGCAGCCCCGTAGTACCGTACTACTACTCTAGTACAGTTAATAACAAATGGTTCGTAGGCTAGCCCAAACCTCCAGCCAAGGTACAATACAGTATTATGACCGGGGAGCTCCTGCCGTGCCCAGCAGAAGACTTCAACTCGTTCTCGATTCCCGCACCTCCAGCTATCCGTAATCCCGGAATATTCGGAGGAGCTAGAGCGCGACAAATATAGACGAAGGGCTAGCGTGGCACTAGCCTAGGACCCCAAGGGGATAGCCACGATATCCCTGATACCACGTTGGGGGGGGTCTGGGCGTTTGATGGTGCCAAGGCGGAATGGGAAGGATGGGGGAGACGGGGAAAAGGAAACCGGGGGATTTCTCCACCCTGTTCGAAACGTATTCACCGTTTGGAGTTCCGGGTTCTAGAAGTTTGATAGCCTTACCCCGACCTTACCTTCCTTCCTGCTTTGATGAATACTGTACAAGTACTGTACCGGTACTCGAGTTACGTACACACATCCTGCGCGCACTACCGTACCGTGTAACGATCATAACCACTGGAACCTGGAAGATGTATGTGATCGTAGTTTCGGCGATCGGAATACTTTTTCTGTCCTCTCACCCATTCTTGCCGTTGAATCATGTGGGCTACGATAGGAAGTTCTTCCCAGAAGTGCAGTGGGATTTGTGGTTGGGGACTTGCGAGGGTGCCAGCCAGCCTAGCAAGCACAGTACGGTACGGTACCACAAGGCGAGCGACCCGATCCAATATCGTAGTATCAATCACCACCTCCAACCCATGTGCCCCCCCAGCCCTATCCCTGGACCTCCTCAAACCCTCCAGGGCAGCGGGAACGGAACGAGACAAAAAAAATGTTCCCAATGAAAGAAAGAATCCGATGAGGCCAGTTTTACCATATGATACCCGCATAGATTGCAGTATATGAAATTTTGCAACGGAGCCTTGCTCTTTTTTCTCACAGTTCATAATAGCACTATCTCGGCAGCATACCTGAATTTCCGCATTTCCTCCACCCCAAAATAGCTTACCTGCTGCACTGAGCAGAACAGACTGCCTACCGGGCCCTAGATACCTCCTCAGAGCATCCGTAACCAGCAACTTCTCCTCATAGCATACGTAAACCCCTCTTCCCTCGCTGTCCTCTAGCTAACTGCATTGCCACGGCTGACCGACTGACCTCGCTTACGCTTCACTATCTTCTTCTTGAGCCCTCTTTTAGAATAGCTTCTCCGGGGATCATGGCCCTCTAGTTTTGCTGGTTTGCGGTGGGTCGAGATGAGTATTGTAGCCTTCTTTACCGGTACTGGTGAAGAATTTCGTGGTTGCTATTGCTTCCAGGTGACCAGAGCCTCATGTGCGCCTCACAGCGTAGAGTAGGTACAGTACCCGAGTATGGGTAGGATGAAACGGACGAATAGGGCTGCATGGGTGAGGCGGGGGTGGATGGGGAGGGGGGGGGGGGTTTCTCTTTTGTTCCTTTGGGGTTTTGTTGCGTTGCACGTTTGTGAAGTCGGAAGAGTCACGGTACCGGTAGGGAGGGTATTCCTGGATTGGGGGAGTGCGAATGTGTGAAAATGATTCTCGGAAGGGTAAGTGATGTTTTTTTTTTCCCACCCGTGCAATTTATGGGGGGCTTGTACACACCGTACTGTGTTCCCACTGTTGAATAAAAAAACAAGGCGAGTCTACAGTACTGTGCACGCGGGATTGTTTTACGGTGTCGTGTTGTGTATCAATGCACTGCTGCTACTGTACCACTGTTTGATCCCCTATCCACCCTACCGTACCCTCGAGTGGGCTCCTACACACTGAGCGAAATCCGCGCAGTTCAACACATACCACTACGGTAGCATATCTACCTATGCAATACCCATAGCGTACCAGTACCATCACTCCCAACCAATAAGACACCAAACAAAACGAAACAGACCCATCGCCCAAACCTGCCTCCCCTTTCCCCCCCTCTCTCGCAATACCGACAATCCCTCCCTTGCTCCTGTCGCACACCTATTAATATCCAACCCTAACCCCGAAAATCCCCCACGACCGAGAAAAGGTAAGGCACAAGAAACCTGTCCTCGTCCAAAGTTACCCACCCGAGCACACTCAGATAGAAACAGCTCGGGACCCCACAAAGTCAAACCGATTGGTCCCACTCCCTGGAAATTAAAATTACCAACCGCGACCGATCTTAACATAGCTACAAGTCGCTCGACCGGTACGGTACCTCCGTCATCTCAGCCAATCGCACTCACGATGAATAAATAAATAAACTCACCATCCACGGCGCGAGTCTGCTGGACTCGTACTGGTTTCTTCCCGTACTTACTGTAGTTCCCGTCTTACTGTGTTGCTTGACTAACTTTAACCACCGTATACCGCGCTACTACGAGTA